TATGTATTTATTAACATATATACATATATATATGTATTTATTAACATATATATATATGTATGTATGTATGTATATATGTATTTATTAACATATATATATATGTATGTATATATTTATTATATTATTATACATATATTATACATATATATATGTATTTATTATATTATTATACATTATGTATTTATTAATACATATATATATATGTATTAATTTATCAAATTGATAAATTGATGGATGATAACTCGGTCAGATAAGAGTAAGATTACCTTAACTTTCGCTTTCTTTTCTGCTCTTCTCGCCTTCGTTTCTCAGCGTTTGCCAAGTCTATGTATTTCTTTCTTTGTTCCGAGGTCATTCGGGTCCACAATTTTCCAGCTGCCCGTGCGATCACGGTCACGTGTTCGTTCGGCTTTTTACTCCGTAACCGTAGAAAGAAAATGATGAAAGGATTTGTCGCGCGACATTTTACGATTTCTTTTCTGCTGCCTCGCAGGTCGGAACCGTTCGCAACTCTTTTATTCTTCCCGGATCGATCATCTACGCTACCCAAAAGTGAAACATCCAAAGTACATTCTTATGTATTACTTTTCTGCATCGCTATTTTTAATCATGGGTGAACATGAATAAGAGATAAGATGGAGATTATCTTACCTGTCGCCACTTTCTCGACTCCGTTCTTTCCTCTTCTGCGCGGATCCGCTGTTTCCCATTCTCCTCGGAAACACTATCACAATCGTTCAACAAATTCTTGTCTCATCCCGCATTACTTGATAATTTTTTTTGCAAAAACTTTACTTAAAAACTGAAGTTGAAGTGATACGACCGATGGGAAGCGTGTGTCCTTTGTTTCAACGCAGAAACAAAAACAACAAGTAAAAATGTTCAAATTCTCGAAACTGAAACTTTTCGAATAGATGCTGTAAGGTTCAAGGGACACTAATTGAGAATACGAAGAACAGAGACTAGACCAGAGAAGGAAAAGAAAGAAATTGAATGATGATTAGAAGACAAACTTATATTTCCGTGTTTCATTGAATATATGGAAAGTATTTGTTTTGTAATTTTCGATGAAATGACGTTTGTCATTTCTGCGATACAACGGTAAATAGAAAATAGCGTTTCGATTTATTAGAGATTCACAAACGAGGTATAAGAGTAATTGGTACTTTACAGATGACAAATGATCTATAAAATTATTTCTATAATTCTCCTCCAGCTTGAGCAGCTTTCTTTGACTTTTTGTTTTTATTCCACTTATCTCCACAGTAGCAAGCATTCTTTTGCGCATCCATGTAACTCTTGCATCCTAAAGTAGTCGTGCCAGTGAAAAGCATTTTTGCAGCACCTTTGCATGTATTTATTATCGCATTCGATTGGTATCCATCGCAATATTTGTATAGGCATCTTTTAAATTCCAAATCGCATTTCTCCTTATCCAAGTTACAAGTATCGTAACAAATGTCATGCGCGTCACAACATTTCGTCATTTCCGTGAGTGGCAGATACTCTTGGTTTATCTAAAAATTATCGAGTCGATTAAAATTTCTATATTTTGCACGTGAAAGTGCAATTTTTTTTTTTTTTTTTTTTTTTGTAAAATTTGCTTACTTCAATTCCTAAAGAACCACATCCATTACTTTGGGGTTTATGATTCCAATCCGGTTTCGGAGTGATTCCTGAAAACGTCACAAACTTTTCGTATTACTATTGTTTCGTCTTATTAAGTGACAACCAATTAGATTTAACTACGTGTGTCATTACATTACAGTTTCTGATATGGTTAAGCTTTTTTTAGAAAACGTACAATTTTAAATATTATCAATAATATCAATTTGCTAAGATTACTTGCAATCGTGTAAATTATATAATATATTAGATAAGATGAATAAAAAACAAAGTTATATATAGATGTATATAGAAGATATTACAATACATTATGACGTGTATATTATCATCGTGTCACATATTTTATCTCTTGATACCGTCTTGATATCTTGAGATAGTCTACGATAGCGTAGAGTTGGAAACTTAATAGAGCATAATAAAAATAGGAAGGAAAAATTTAAAAAAGTTTAAAAGTATAATCAATGATTAGGTTAAACACATACCTCCTGGGCATTGAAAGATACAGTTTTCTTCCACTGCTGCGTCAAACACTTCATGTATGTCTTTAATTTTTCTAGCCACAGTAATTGCATTCTCAAATAAATCTTGAAATACCGATTCCGCTGCTAATACCGCGTCCTTTAAATTCGATAGTAACCCAGCACCATAACCTGACCATGCGTAAGCGAGAAAAGTCAAAATGTAGACCAGAGCCTTTCGATACTGGGAAAAATCCATTTTTGTTGCACTTACTGATACACTGTTACACCGGTTCGACCGGATATTTATAGGTAAATTGACTCACATAAATTTATATTCAATCGCGGACACGTGGTGACAAACGAAGAAATAGTTCTCATATTACATTATACATACTCTCGTCATGCAATATATACGTACATACGAAAATGCACATTTGCACGAAAATCATGAATAATCAAATGGAAAAATTACCAAGTATATTTTTAACTTGCTTAACGATAATTATTCGCAATTAGTCTTACTGTGCAAATGTAAGGGTAATTATACATAATATACTTTGTCGTGTAAATAATAATCTTTATTAATTTAAACAAAAGAAACAAATAATTCTAACAAGTTAAGTAGTATAAAAGTAAGTATGTTAAAACATTTTTTGTAATTCTCCTTTTTCGTATAATTTCTTCACGTCTGTTCCACCTCCCAAGCATACTCCATTTACAAATACTCTAGGTACTGTCCTAGCTCCGGTCATTTCACCCAATATAGATTGGATTTCATCTCCGTCATCCCTTTCATTTAATTCAATAGACGTGTATTTCTTTTGCATTTTATCAAATACCTGAAATAACGTCATATCAATTGATATTGAAATGAAAATAGGAAAATTATTTGGTTGATACCTGTTTAGCCATTTTGCAATATGGGCAGGTAGTCTTAGAAAATATCACAATGGTATGAGATCCAATAAGATGATTAATTTCATCTTTCGTTGCAGGCATGATGATTTCTTCTGCACTGGAAATTGATAAATCCATCATGTTAAATTGGTTAAAATCATTGTTATAATAATGTAACAGATTCTCGTGTTGTAATTTCTATCTCAATCAAATATTGTAAACGAATTAAATTTAGATATTGTTTTACTACATTTTCACAAGATTAAAAAAATCGTAATTGTTGTGCTACCTGTCTCAGCATTTTTCTCGCCATCTGTGTAAGACAATTTCTTTCTAAGAATTATATTCGATATGTCACTGATAAAACCTAACGAAATTCTATACATGTTGATTTAAAAATTTTAGGTGGAAACGAAATACACATAGAGCGGTTGTGGAAAGAATGATTCACTCTCTCTTTAGTGCGAAGTTCTCTTTTTATGTTGTTAAACAAAATACTGTCGTGAAGAAATCGATTTCGATATCAAAAGAAATCGACTATTTAAATACCAATTCCACAATATTCAGTATTATTACACTTCTTAATACTACATTATTTTGTGTAAAAATGAAATTATTATAAATTTGACGTATGCATATGCATACTGCAATATTTTTAAAAATTAATATGCATTAACTTTTTTTCTTTTAATCAACAAAGAGATTTGCTATATAAATTATGTCTATGCATATGCGTATATATATATATATATATATATATATATATATATATA